AAGTCTAGCACGGGCCACATAAACAAGGTTAAAGTTTATGTGGGCCACAAAAAAAAACCCTTAAATTTTCATAGAAACGTAGGTTTATTTTGAAAAGTACAGAGTAAAGCCCTTCCCCAGCATCCCCCTCTACTAATTCCAAGTCCCCCCCCCCCATATACTAAATCCCAGCACCCTCCTCTAGCCAACAAGATCCCATCCCATATCCCAAACCATCCCATCCTGATCCTTCCAATCAATTTGAAACCATCGAACGTGAAACCCATCCAACGAACACCACCTTAAATTAAAATGTCATCAAGAAATCAACCAGATATACTTATACGCAAGAAACAAAGTGATGTCACGTCCATATATATCCACAGGTATCTGCACAAAGGTCAGCTAGACAAAAGTCCTTTGCTCCTATATAAAATGACACAAAAACACTGATACATAGCGTAACCTGTAAATGGTATAAACAGTACTGTGAAGATAGTGGATAAACTGACACTTTTTTGAGCCAGTTAAAAGTAGGCTCAGGACTTATGATGCATATCAACTCCCGAAGGAGATATCAGATGGAGCTGTAAATGATCAGGACTCCCAGATATTCAGGAACCCGCTGGTATCACCAGAAATCAGGAACTCCCTCACTGGCCCTCCTCCCGGCCGGGTAAATGTTAGCAGAGTAGGCACCTGCAATGTGGGGAAAGCAGGTGTCTGCTCTGCTTTAACAACAAGGCATGTACTCTCGGCACGCCGCAAAGATGTCCATTGTGTGCCGTGAGTTTGACATGCTTGACTTACAGCATCTGTTGAGAGCTCTCCCTAAACGAGGAAGGAGCTCAGCCAATCAGGAAGCTCTCATTTTAGCAGTCTGAATGTATCCAATAAATCCCTGACTTGCTTTCATAAAAACCTATACATAAGGATCATATCTTTGCATGATGTTATCCTAGTATGAAGGGATCAATATTTCATCAAAAATTGGGGTGCTGGACCATTAATTGTGTATTGCTATATGAATTTCTATTCTGTACAGAAAGGTTTCTTTCACTCTTAAAAAAACAAAAAACATAACACCCACCCAAAAAACATTGCTATTGCGAGACGGACATTGCTTGTTTGTTCTTCCCTAATACAGATAACATGTCTTATAGTGGTAATCTAAGTTAAGTTCTTTCTGAAATAAATTTGGCAAATTATAAATCCTGAAAATATTTCCCTACTTAGTCCAGTCTGATTTACTCTTTTTTTCTATTATTTGCTTTATTATTTGTATTCCTTGGACTTCAAATGATAAAGTTGCATTTTTCTAGCTGACTGATACTAAACAATTATCCCACATTTGGAAATTTTCATTATGAAACTGCCAGATAAGAGCTCTGCATCAAAAAACTACCTTATATGTCTTTACTACAATTCAGAGTGCCTATTAGGGAATGTGGAGGATTAAAACATGGCATATTTGGGGGTACGCACTGGTAAAAGAAGAAATAGTTTTAGTTATCTGCAACATAGAAATGCTGTTAAATACATACAACACAATAACGTGCAATAAAACGAAACATACATATACACATAAAAGGGACACACATCCTTTTGAGACAACTGTCTCGTTCAAAAGCTTTAGTTGGTTAACTCTGCAGGCTAAAAAAGAAGGAAAATATGATTTGTTTTTTCATCTCTATCTGCCTCTCCTTTCTTATGCTTTCCACTCCCACTCCACTCCAGAGGGAACTGATCTAACTAATCAGTGTCCTATCCCTAGGAATGCTGGAAAAGTGCATTGGGTGACTGACAGATTTCCATGTGCAGCTAGATCTCTTTACCTTGCAACATCCTGACAGGGGGAGAGGAGAGGGAGTTTGAGCAGTGTGATACATGCAGAGCAGGCTTTGGTGTTGGGGTTCTCTCTCTCTCGCTGCTGCAGAATGATACCCTGTTTCTGTCATTAGTGGACTGGTCTGAAACTGACAAGGATGTAGGGAAGGGGAGGAGGGGGGGAGGGGGTAGGGGTGACTGATGAAACTCACCAGGCTGAGAGGCATGACCAACAATACAATCTGGTCAAGTTTATAGTAAGTTTTAAAGATTTAATACATACTTAATTTTGGTTTGTATATTTGTTTAAAAATGCTTGCTTGCTGGTTTATTAAAAGAATTGTCAGGTGATGCATGTCTCTCTAAGAGACTCCACTCAATTTGGATGACATACTTCTTTTTATATGGGTTCTTTATAAAACACATTCAAATGCAAAAAAAGGGCATCTCGGAATACCTCTTATCTGATGCAAATGCCCACAATTTTATCTACAGAATCTGCTGCTTCTAACAATATGCAAAGACCAGGATGTAGGTGAAATCACCTGGTCAAGCCTGGTGTTCTGTTTGTTTTCAATGAGTGCAGTGCGAGTATCCCATAAACTCACCTTTTCTCATTCACAGAGATCAATTAAAGCGGCAGTGTCATGCCAAACTTACCTTTCCTCAATCTCTTCCTCTTCTCCCCCTCTCTCAGGATCTGTTCTTCTTTTCTTCCTGTCTTCTTTAGTTTTCTTTAAAATCATAAGACAAAGTAGGGACTCTTTGCCTTATGGAGGTTTCCTCCGCTTGACCAGCTTTAACCAGCGGAGGAGCAAAGTGTGCTTCATTTCCGCTGGTCAGAGCAATTTTCCCATGATCCTTAGCTTTCCTCCCTGTTCCCACGATGCTTCCTGTCAGTATTGCCGAACGTCCTGTTATTTAGACAGAACGCCGACAAAACAGCTGAATTGCATCCTAACAGAATGAGAACAGTTTCTCCATTCGTGTTAGGATGCAATTCGGGACTTTGTTCGGATCGCAATTTCATTCGAATGAATGAAACTCCGATCATATTCGTGCTGTGGCTGCATCTTGCAGCCGCTTAGTGGATAACTCCCTAATTCCCACGGTATCAGGGAGTTATCTACTGAAATGCTGAAAGACCTAAATTGGTCTTTCAGCCAAATTTACTAATACTAAGTAAAGATTACTTAGTATTAGTAAATTCTGCCCTTACTCGATATACCGCGTGTAGGGGCATGTCTATTAAACTGTTATAAAAAAACCCTACTAACCGCCCGCCCGCCCTGCGCGACGGGTGGGGACCCTAAATGACAATGGGGGGGCCTACTGTCCTCCCCCCCTGGCCCCCACCCCTGAGCAGTGGGTGGGGGCCCTAAAAAACAATAAGGGGGGGACCTACTGTCCTCCCTCTGGCCCCCACCACTGAGCAGTGGGTAGGGGCCCTAAAAACAATAAGGGGGGAGGACCTACTGTCCTCCCCCCCGGCCCCCACCCCTGAGTGGTGGGTGGGGGTCCTAAAAAACAATAAGGGGGGGACCTACTGACCTACTGCCTAAATAAAAATTCACGCCCCCCCCCCGATCAAGGTGACTATCCCCTACCTACCCCCCTCACCCTAAAAATAGTGAGGGGGAATAAAATAACTAACCTGTAAACAAAAATTAAACTTACCATTTGACGTCTTCTTTTTTCTAAAATCTTCATTTTTCAGCCCCAAAAAAGGCCAAATAAAAAGCCATCTTACCCATCTCACCCAAAAAGAAGATGTCAAATGGTAAGTTTAATTTTTGTTTACAGGTTAGTTATTTTATTCCCCCCTCACTATTTTTAGGGTGAGGGGGGTAGGTAGAGGATAGTTTTATTAGGGTGGGGGGGGGGCTGAAGCCACAGACTGCTCACTGGAGTATATGGAGTAGGGGCATTGGGGAGATTTTAATCTCCCTTATGCTATTATGGAGGTCATATTGTCCCCCATAGAGTGAGGGGGGACCTGGGGGGCTTAGGAAGTGGCGGGGAGCTTCTATCTTTACATATTACAAGGAGGGAGCTGCGCGCCGGTAGCTCCCTCCTTGTAATAAACTGAACGAACAAATGAACACTGATCCTCAGTGTTTGTTTGTTCGTCTGACAATGCTATTCATTCATTCGGCTTTCTGATGAATGAATAGATGAAATTCCCGTGCACACGTCCAAGTGTTTTACTGGGCATGTGCGGGAATCACAGGAGTACTATCTAGTGTGGGCAGATGAAGTCTCCCACAGGGACTTCCTCTACCCACACAAAGATGGCGGCGCCCTGAATATCGATCGGGGCAGAAAATAAAGATTAAAAAATAGGTAATATGGGGGGCTTAGGGGCATTTGTGGGTGACTAGGGGGTCAATCAGAGATAGTGGAGGCGGGAGGTGGGTTAAAAAAAAAAACGGGATTCGGCCATGACAGTGCCGCTTTAATGAGAGGCACTGTTTGTAATTTCATATTTATGTTTAGTTTATGTTAAACATAAATATGAAAATGTCATGGCCGAATCCCGTTTTTTTTTAACCCACCTCCTGCCTCCACTATCTCTAATTGACCCCCTAGTCACCCACAAATGCCCCTAAGCCCCGCATATTACCTGTGGGACACGTCATCTGCCCACACTAGATAGCACTGTGTGATTCCCGCACATGCCCAGTGAAACACTTGGACATGTGCACGGGAATTTCATCTATTCATTCATTCATCAGAAAGTCGAATGAATGAATAGCATTGTCAGACGAACAAAGAAACACTGAGGATCAGTGTTCGTTTGTTCGTTCAGTTTATTACAAGGAGGGAGCTACCGGCGCTCAGCTCCCTCCTTGTAATATGTAAAGATAGAAGCGGCAGGGAGCAGTGCTCCCCACCACTTCCTAAGCCCCCCCAGGTCCCCCCTCACTCTATGGGGGTTAATATGATCCCCATAATAGCATAAGGGAGATTAAAATCTCCCCAATGCCCCCCCATATACCGCGAGTAGGGGCATGTCCACTAAACAGTGAGCAGTCTGTGGCTTCAGCCCCCCCTCCACCCAAATAAAACTATCCCCTACCTATCCCCCTCACCCTAAAAATAGTGAGGGGGGAATAAAATAACTAACCTGTAAACAAAAATTAAACTTACCATTTGACGTCTTCTTTTTTCTAAAATCTTCATTTTTCAGCCCCCCAAAAGGCCAAATCAGCAGCAGACCCTCCCTCCCAGACCCTCCCACCTCCTGGACAGCTCACTAAGAATGCAGCTTCAAATGGATGTAAAATGGATGCTGTCCAGGAGGTGGGAGAGTCTGGGAGGGAGGGTCTGCTGCTGATTGGCTGGAATGTGTCTTCTGACTGTGAGGTACAGGGTCAAAGTTTACTCAATGATGAGTCCGCGGCGAACCATTCGTGGTGAACCGTTCGCGAACTGTTCGGAACATCACTATTTATGTTATATAGACATTGTTCTTTGGTCATTTTGGACTCTGTATAAGTTTTGACATTTTCACAAGAGATAACGCTATCTGCATTTATTTATAGTCTGTACAGAAGAGTCAGTAACAATATTCCTAATCACATTTTTTTTTCTTGTTATATTCTGATCACATTATGTTCGTATGAACATTTACAACAACGCACAGAAGTTTGCGCAAGTCCTATGCTGTAGAAATCAAAGATTTAAATTCAAATTAGGTTGGTTTTACCGTGCAACATTCTTTCAAAGATTAATCTAAACCCGTTTGCCAGGAATGAAACGTTTACTGTTGTTCTAAGGAAAGAAACCTGGAAGGTTAAAATGGGAGACAAACTGTCAACTAACCACTAATTGAATTTCATAAAATGACTCATGGTTCAGAAATTTCCCAGAATTTAATCACAGTCCACCCAGAAAGATCAATTAAAGAGCAGACTCTGAATTTGCTAGATTTCTGTGCAAATCATGGAGACGCAATGATGGAAGAAGCTTTGCCACAGTGGTTTATGAATGAACAAAAATGTAATTTACACCAGCTTGATACAAAAATAATAATGGTGGTCTGTAAAAGGCATGTAATAATTAAATACAAAAAAAAACAAAAACTAGATGTTAACAATCAATTAAAACTTTTTTTTTCATTTACCACTATTTGTTATTTACTAATCAGCCTCATAACTGCACAAATATATTCACAAATTAGAACTCTTTCAACACATTGATTGACCATGTGTTAAAATACTGTACACAGTAATGCATCTTTAACTTGCAATTTTAAGCATGTGATATTTACTGTACACAGTTTATGAATTATCCATGGTAATACTACCATTATATTGATTATCTTTTTTTTTTTTTATGACACATATTGGTTCTGCACATCCAGAACCAATATAATAATGTTTAGTTTCAAGCACTATGCAGGAAACAATTTATTTATTCTCCAGGAATGATAACCAGCATGTAGAGGAACACATTTTCCGGAAACCACTAGTCACTCATTTAATGTCCTCAAGTTTGCTGAAAATGTCAGCTCACCTTCTACTTCCAAACAGAAATGAAACTGGCTGTAGCTCATACCATTTCTATAGGGGACTGGGGCCAGGAGGATGAATGGCATCACCATTTCAGTATCATTGAATGCTAAAGAATCAATTTAAAAAAAAATTAAAAAAAATAATTTAAATGTTTACATCCACTGTTTAGGGTCCTGTCCCACCGTCCCAATTTAGAGGTTGATTTAATGTCAGACAATAAGTGTTGATATCGACTTTTTTACTCCTGATAAGCTTTAGGACTCGCTGTGAGATGTTCATTTCCTTTCCCTCGACCAATAAAGGCTGGGAGATGATGAAGATGGGTTTCTACAGAAGGGGAGGATTGCTCTGACTCTTGGGAGTCATAACTAGTGCCTATGTTGATCTATTCTTCTTCTATATAGCACCTGAATTTCTTTATTTTCTTAATTTTTTTTTCCTGTAGTTTTTATAAAATATGGGAGGAAATGTAGGGAATACTTTATCTGCACTCATGTCACTTTAACTCCTGTATCACAACTCAACTTTGAATTCTATGTGTCGTCTTTGCTCAGAAATGATTCAGAATTGAGAAAGGGAGGTTCTCCCGAAAGCTTGTCATTACAAAATTCTGTTAGCCCAATAAAAAGGTATTGCAAGATACGAATGTCATGTGTTATTTTCCATTTCCTTAGTATAGTAGTCAAGTTGATAAATGTTGACAATGGGGGGAGCTTAAGCTAGGTTCTGTTTCAATAGTCAATACAATTTACCTACAATCCATCAGTAAAAGCAAATCATCACAAATCATGGGCAGAGGAGAAAAAAATGGCTGCAGACAGATTTTGAGGTATGCCCAAGGAAAAAGGTAAATGGCAGGCAGAGAATGGAGGAGTTAAGTATAATCATTAATATACACTGGAAATGAAGAAAGGAAAACTGAAAGAAAAACAAAACATCAGCTGCAGTAACTACCCCGGGTGCAGCTGCACCGGGTCCCGCACACCCAGGGGGCCCATCGAGTGGCCCATGCATCGGGTGGCCCAGGGGTTAAACTTTTAACGAAAAGTTTAATCACAAAGTCTTCGGTTTGGTGCTCATCAGCTGTGCCCCTTAATTTCCTTTTCAGTCTGAGGCTTCAATCAGGAAGCCTTGAATGGAGGCGCAGCTTAGAAAATTAATTCACATTCTTTAGTCTATCATTAGCCCACCATTCACAAAACAGGAAGAAAAACATATGTACATTTTTCGCTGCATTTTGTGAATGGAGAGCTACAGATAGGCTGACAAACACCTTGTAGAAGGTCAAAACGTGGCTCTGTCAATACTGTTGATCCAATAAAATTGCTTGCTGGTTAAACACTGTGAGTGCCTGAAGATTTTCCTTTGTACTATATCTGCAATACTGACTTGACAAAAACCTGTAAGAGTAAGCTTGCTGTCAGATCACGTCCTTGTGGTGGTTGTAATGGAAAATTGCTTACAGTCCAAAGGTCCGTATATAGTGTCATTTGCTACAGGAGGCCGAGAGGTAGAGTTCCAATGCTGATGCCCAGCTGGACACTAGCATCTCTGAAGATTTGAATGAATTTGCTATCTTACTCTTCATACTTCTGACCAAGATACTATTTTTCTGTAACCCTCCTTCCTTTTATATGCATATATCCCACAACATCTAGTTTAAAATGTTTATTTGCTCAAGATAGCAAACCCACTATCTTGCAAATTAAAACAAGCTTTATTTAAGATGAATCAAGATGGGCTATATTACATAAACATAGTACATATGTAGAGCGATATCTATTCATTAACCAGCAGTATGAGACATTTAAAAACCTCCTTTTGAAGGTCTGGGTTCTGCATTTTTGATGAACAACATATGGCTAAAGGATAGAATCCATCACTTTACCATGCTGTATCAGGCACACTCCCTCTTTACCATCCTTAGCCCAGCTGACTCACACAAAACACTTTCCTGCTCAATAGAATTTTTAGTTTGTGAACATGTGTAATCCACATTAGTGGTTATAATGGCATATAAACCAAGTGGAGAATAATCATTGACATGAATAAATAAACAGAACCACAGGGTTGCAGAGAGTGCTTTTATTCAAAGAGTGTCTGAGTAAGGTGTGCTGTATAGTAAAAAAAAAATGTAATCTAAACAATTGTCACATAGTCTAGTCGCAGAACAGCCTGTTTAATGACAACGTTCTGACACTGATTCTATTTATAATAAATGTATATTTCAATTATTCAAGAAATTCTCATTAGTTTCTGTTTACTGTAATTTCTTTAACGTCATCAAAAAGTTTCATTGTCTGGGTTATGAAGTCTAAAATAGAAATATCAAGAACATGTACATATGAACATTGTTCCTAATTTTATTGGGTAATTCACTAAAGTATAAAAGGCCTCTACTGAATGAGGAAACACTGTTGGCTGCTATCTGGGACCATTCTGACTCCAAAGTCTGGGCATTGTTTACACTAATTAACAATGCCCATATTTTGAGCCCCCAATGGGAAGGTCCACCCCCATAAATATTATTATTAGGAGCTCCACCCACTGCCATTGGGTTGGGGCTGGAGGAGGACATGCCATAAGGTAATTGCATGGAACACGTGTTTGGGGATCACAAAGACGATTGAAAAAAAATGATCAGTCAGGAGAAAAATCACTGTGTTATTTGAATTTTTCACATAAACATGGATTGTAAAATGTCTAAAAATCATGAAAGAAAAATAGGGAATTCTTGTCCATCGCTGCTCATTTGTGCACACTGCATCTCTGTTCTTAATGAGTAAATCTTGGACTGCTTCTGATCTAATATAAGGTACTATTTGACATATACATAATATTTATTAACAATGTAGTGTTGACATACTACGATATTAACAGATTCCAACCTTGAAAAGTTATTTCTCTACAAAAAATGGGCACAAGTCTACTTTCACTTAACAAGTGAAAACATTCTTCCACTTCCTTAAACCTTTTCTTTCCTGTAAGCCTCAATGTCTGCAACAGGGGAATTGTATTCTGAATCTACACACCGTCTCGAGCCCAAGTAAAATGTTGTCCCTTCCCCCATTTCTTGTAAAGCATGACTATATAATTCATTCTCTTCATACTGGGAATGCTATTTTAATGATTTGTGTTTGTTTTGGTAGAAACTGGAGACCAGCAAACAATACAGTATTGATACACGGTACAACACACAACCAACAATGAAACTAATTACAGATCTTGGTAAAGAGGAAGAAACAAAACACTTGTTTTTAAAAACCACATAGCCTGGAGCTCTTGATGAAAACTATAACAAAGTGACTGAGGAAAACTTTGAAGTAATATTAGTCTGAGCAACAAAAATATTCCGTAAGCACCTGAGGCATACTGAAGAATGTAGTGCTTGATCTTACAAAGTCTTCTGTGGACCACAAAGTCATCTGTTCTTGCAATGTGAGAAGGATATAATCAGGGGACCCACGCCATACATTAAATCCCTGTTCTTGTTGTTCACAATGTATGTGGTCCCCCAAATATAGTCAAATACAGTCAAGGAATATGGTTTCCATATTTCTAAAAGCAACTGATGACTACAATATGTACAGCTTCCTAAAACTTCTGTAAACCCTCCTTGCTTTTATTTGGAAGTCCTTCTTCAATTTGATCATCAGCACTGTGTATTACTGCCACCCAAGCGTTTTACTTATGTGAAATTAGTCACCAAGTGAAGCTCATGGTGATATCTTCCATGCATCTTCTGATGTCAACAAGGGCCTTGTACGATCCAGTCAATGACTTCTCATAGAGAAGCCTTTGGTTGGACCGTTTCACTGGCTCACTGTACATGAGA